CCAGTGAGCTCCATCATTCATTGGTTTTAGGAAATCGTAATAAAAGTTGTAGCTGGGGAGGAGAGTGCTCATGTTAACCTACAGTTCTCACAGATTTAGAAGCCTTGGAATCCAAACTGAAAATCTGTTCATCCCCTGCCTCACATACATTCTCCAATTCCTATTCTGAATTCCTTTAGCTTAAAAAATAAAGTTTAATTCTTTCTGACTTGCGGCAAACCTAATAGAAGTTAAAAACATAGTTATCTAAATGAGGGAGAAGGAAAATTTCTTCTAATTCATCTTTCCCAACATCTCTAAGCCATTTGGGTACAGTCTTTGGATGTTCACCTCTTTTTATGTTGCAATTTTCAGGTCTTTTAACAAATTTTTGTTCTATTTATGAATTTTTTTACCACTTTGCAGTCTTTTGGGTCTTTGAGATTAGGGGAAAGTTTGCAGTGAGAACCACAGTTCTCTGCATCACTTACTGATAAAGCGGATCAGTATCTGCCTCTCTTGGCCAGAAGCATTTGTCTCTAGACCCAGAATTTCAAGTAACAAAACTTTATCTGCATGAGATAATAGAATTTAATTCAGTGTATATATATGGTTAGTGAGGAACAACTCTGCAAAAACACCACAGAAGGTAAAGTGGCGTATTCCTACGCTGAAGACTTTCTTGTCCATCATTTATGGGAATATCACTTAGTTTAGTTATTCCAACTTCAGACAAAACTTGTTTTTCTTTCACTTCAGCTGAAATGAATGTAAGAAATGAGGTAACATAGAGCAAAAGTTATACTGAAGGCCAAAAAAAGGTGGCTGGGGATGGCTGAAAAGTTGAAGGTTCCCGTATACAGGTACAGCAGAGGATCGTGCAGTGAAGGAGGAAAATACCTGCCACATCCATGTCAGCATGTTGCTAGTGCTAATTCTTAAGTGTGTTTATAACACTCAGAAGTCAATTTGTAACTCACTTTGTAGTTATTATAGATGCTCTTTTTTTCTGCATGCCTTTTGAAGAATTGACTTACTTAAGGTTGTTGGTCTTGCTTGAGTAGAAAGACATAAAGTTATGGGTACTTAAATTAAAATTGATCTAGCAGCGGGGCAGAGGGCTGGTAGCTGTGTCATTCCAACACAGTGTCACTTTGTGGCAGTTCCCCTGTATGAATTGTTCTCCTGGGTGTTCTGCATTTCCTGCACGGAATTTCTGGAGTTTCATATTTCTTGTAGCAGCAAGACACTGTTTTTTTGATGGGTTTCTTTTGAAGTGCTTGGTTGCTGCCATCTCTCTTTCCTTGTCACCTGCTGAATCTCTGAGAGACTGGGGAGGGTTTGTATGTTATCCACAATTTATTTTTAATTAACACCCACCTTTTTATATATATATTTTTTTTTTTAATCTTTGAGAGTGTGTTTATCATTACTGCCATCCTTTTAGGATATTCATCGAAATCTCGTTCAGTTTTCTCTAAGGCATATGAATTGGAAGAGGAGTATGTTTTGAGATGGGGGAAGGGGTAGGCAAGGCAATGAGGAAAATGGGAGGAATCCAAAAAGGAAATGACTTTGCAATTCAGATAATCTTGATGGGAGAGTGATAAAGATGATTCTAATGATGTTGCAGGGGGGATGGGGAGCAAGAGACAGGATGGAGACAAGACTTCGAGAGAGAAAAAAAAGCAATGTGGTCAACTGCTCTTTTGGGCTTCTTTTATCCTGAGTCTGCCGAGGGCTTAAAACTAAGTGCAAACTGAGGTCAGAAGATATATGTCAGTTCTTAGGACCAGGGCATGACTTTGAGTAAGCCATACAGGCCCATGTGTAATTAAAGTATGTGATTGAGCCATTGGAAATACATTTGCCGTGCTGAACATCTCGGATTCCATGGTTTCCTGGGGTTTCTTACTCATTTTCTCTTGTGTTTCCATGACTTGTTCATTTTATACAGAAGTTTTTCACAGCAGGAAACTGTTCCTTGATACATTTCCATAGCACCTAACTCAGTAGGGCATCTGTGTTAAGAGCAGCCCTGTAGGTCCTACCACACCAGCTGGCAGTAGCAGGATTCCTCCAGCTGCTACTTCCCAATTAAGACCAGGTGAGAATGAGCTGTGGTTGTAGTGCATCTCATTGGATTTTGTTTGCTTTTTTTTTTTCCTTAAGCCTGGTACTTGAGAAGTCCATGGGAATTTAGTTCTGGATCTTTTCCATAGCACATTTAGTTTTTCTTTACTGTTTGCTTTGAAGGGAGAGGAAGGGGGAAATGAAAGCAATGGGTACAGAGAATGAAGAACTGTTACCTTGCATGGAGGTCTGAGATAATCTAATGGTGTTTGGCATGAGATTGGAGTGGCAGGGAGTAAATGCCAGGAAAAAAAAGACAAAAAAAAAACCCCAACAACCCAGAATTAATGGAGAATTCATGCAGGGCTGAATAATTGAAGTAAAAAATTTGATGAGTCAACAAGGCAGCAAATATTAGGGAGGAAGCAGTACCCGTTTTTGTACAGAGAGATGAATTACTCCTGTAAGAGTGTGGTTAAGAGGTGCAAAGTGTACTTTTCCTTAAATTCTGGCTCTGGTATGAACTAGCAAGGCTCTTTGTTCAGTCCGTGGGATGAAGGCAGGTGTACTGCAAATGCAGCTTCTGTGTCATTAAGCTGGCTGCCACAAATGGACAAAATGATTTTTTAATGCACTGAAATAAATGGACATGGAGGTGAACCGAGTACAGAAATTAAGGTACAATAAATTACTTTCCATTCATTTGAGGCATATTTTATAAGCAGAGCTATTTATGGCTTTTTTTTGACTGAGAGCAGAGATGATAATAATCTGACAATAATTACCTTGTGGAAAAAAACAGGAACAAATGAATCTGAATTCTTCAGCGTTTGATCCTCATGCAATAGATAGTGGAATGATAAAACTTTTATGGAACAACATTGCAGTGGTATGTCAAGCTGTTTTTCTATTTTATTGCAGAGAACTGTAAGGGAAAATATTTGAAACTAGATGACATGCATTATGACATACCATTTAGCCACGGAGACGTAAGCTGGGATCAAAGCGTGTTTGGAAAATTGAGGTCCTTGGGAGCAGGAAGAAAAGAGGAGTTTCTGACAAATAAGATCAGAATTCTTCTGGGTTCCTTAGAACGGGTCTAAGGTTGTTGTAGAGAGGTCCAGCACTTCATTACGTTGCAAGGCATGTGCTGAAGTCCGTGTGTCTGAAGAATGGGTTATAATTCTTAGCCTTTTCTTGGTCACTGTCATACGAGGTCAGCCTATCATTAGAAGTCAGGCTTGTGCTGTCGGTAATGTACTGTCTCTTCTTTGACCTCATTTTACAGTTAGCTACTCAGTTTGGTACATGATAAGAGCTCTAGCAAAACAAGATTGAAGTTAGTCTTTTATTTTGTCTTCGTTATTATCCTGAGTTACATTTAGTAGGTTTTTGCTTTCTTAGAATCGCTCGGCTTTTAGAAAAGCTTTTCTCACACGTGCATTTTGTCCATAGAGGAGCAAACTGCAGTCAGTGCTGGACGGCAGGAGTTGTCTCTCTGCACTGCTGGCAATGCCGGGGTGGTTTGGGGAGCTTCCCTGCTCGAACTTTTGCAGCATGGTCGTTGACGTTTAACCTTAGTTATCCAGTGTAAGTGATGATTCAGGCAATTCTCTTTCACATCCCACCAGAATCTATTGCTGCTGCCAAAACAGAAGTTAGAGCCGACACTGGAGCATGGTTCCTTTATTATTTTTTTTTTTCTTTTTCAGTTCCTCGTTTTGGTATTCTATGCTATTTTCCCTTTCCTACAAGGCTTTCACCTGTTAGGTTACTTTGTTAAATGGTTCTCTTTTCTGGGTTTTTATTTTTTTTCCTTTTTCTTCACAGTTCCAGGTATTTTCATATTTAACTTGAGATTCCCTGTAAGTTTACAGGTTCTTTTCTCATCAGACTATGGAGTCAGTCACATGGCTGACTGAAAATGAAAATACTGTGGGTCATATTTGTTTTTTAGTACCTCCTCCAAGCAGTATTTATCTTTGACCCCTGACATCGGTGTCCAAGCATGCCACCTTCAGTTTTCTGCTCTCAGAACTAAACACTTGGAGAAAACGTTGACAAAATATTTTGTGCTTAGGAAGCCAGTTGGGACTTGCCTCATCATTTAACTCTTCAGGTTAAAATTATAGCCCTTGTTACAAGTTTCAGAAGGTTTTTGTCTAATTCCAAACAGACAGCTGATCTGCTTGGGAAGTAAAAATTCTGAAAAAAAATCCCAACCCAAACCAGTAACAGAATCTTGATCCCATAAAACTCTAAGTGGTGTTCTTCCGACAGATTTGAAGCTGTTAAATTGCAGTGCCTAAGTGCATTGAAGTGTTGGACTGTAATGCGTATCAGCAGTCAAAGGCAATGTTGCATATTAAGGGCTCTCCTGTCTCCCAACCTTTACATTGATGAAAGATTAGTGTAATGCCTTCACGAAGAACATCAGCACCCAGATCCAGACTTCCTTGTAGTCAATGGAAGGGTTTTTTTCCTTTCTGGGGAAGTCCTGCAACACCAAATGTCTCAAACACTGTTATGTAAATTCTTCCCTTCTATTAAGGGGGAGCCACCCAAAACACTGGGATTGTCCAACGTATTTATAAAATCTCAAAAATCAATAATTCACACTGTGTGAATTATTCTGGAGAAGCAATACCACTTCTTGGCACTCTGTGTTTTTTCAGATTGTCTGTTGTCATTGTACTTTAGCAGGAATTGATTATCTAATTGGTTATATGATAATCATTTAGACATATGACCTTGTTTAATCCTTCTCCAATATATTAAATTGCTACACAATTAACAGGATTTGAGGCTTTCCATACTCTTCATGATGTCTACACATGCAGTGTGTTTGTGTCTGAAATTATGAAAGAAAAAAATCTTCATGGTGTTGAATTCTGTGTAAATTTTATTTTTCAATACGTTTCATGTTTTTACTTTCTTTCCCTTTTTAGGTATTACAGAGAAATGGCTTTATGGATCTGGACACTGAGCATTTTGAGCTGTTTTTGCATCACCTTATCCAGAAATGAGGAACCGATTCCTTTCCAGAGCGCTACAGAGCTAAATCATCTAACAGTGGATAACGACACTGGGATTATCTATTTGGGAGTGGTAAATGCTTTGTATCAGCTTACAGAAAACCTGGAAGTAATAAGGTCTGTAGAAACAGGTCCAAGAAAGGACAACAAAAAATGCACACCTCCCATTGATGAAAATCAATGTAAAGAGGCAGTACTGACTGACAATTACAACAAACTATTGTTGCTGAACAAGGCGGATAAAACAATTGTGGTGTGTGGAAGCCTTTTTAAGGGAATCTGTGCCATCAGAGATCTAGAAGACATTAGCCATGAGAAGTATTATGTAGACAGTAGCGGAGAAAAGTCTTTTGTGGCAAGCAACGATGAGAATGTATCAACTGTGGGACTGATCACTTCCTTGAATAATGACCGAGTGCTGTTTGTTGGGAAAGGGAATGGACCAAATGATAATGGGATAATAATCAGCACTCGGCAGCTCTACGAAAGGGACGGGAAAGACATTTTTGAAATGTATACAGACTCGGCAGCTGTGAAGTCAGCTTATCACTCGTCAAGCACACAACAATTTGTGGCAGTCTTTGAGGATAAAAATTATGTTTATTTTATTTTTAATCAGCAAGAGAAACAGCCCGTCAATAACCGCACACTGATTGCACGTCTGTGCAAAGATGATGCCCATTATTATTCCTACTTTGAAATGGACTTGGGTTGCAAAGATGATGATGGTGCCTATGACCACTGTCACTCTGCTTACGTCACTACCCCAGGAGAAGAGCTGGCTGAGAGCATGGCTCAGCAGAGACAAACCACGGATGCTCTCTCAGATGACAAAGTTCTTCTTGCACTCTTCAGCAAAGTAAACAAAGATAACGGCTCTCTAAAATCTGCCATGTGTGTGTTTTCCTTGCGGCACATCAATGAAAAGATGGAAAAAAACCGGAACGATTGCTACACTAAAAAGAATACCAGCTCATTTTACAAACTTTTTTCAGCAGAAAACCCGTGTGCATCACATGGACTGGTAATATCACTATCAGTTTTACAATCTGTGTTAGAATTAGTGGAAAATATACAACTGCATATTTTGGGGTGGCTTTGAGCTAAACTATAGTGAGATCAGATGACTGAAAACTCAATAGCTGGATTCACTGTAGAAATGGAACGTGGTTGGGACGGTTGCAGAACAGGTCAAGGAAGAAGTAGCAAGATAGTTATAATTCTGAGTTTCTAAAGAAATATTTTACATCTCCTGAAAAGTTAATATTGGTTTCATAAATGCATTTCTTTTAAAGGTTTCCTTTTGGTATGGAAATTACTGAGTCAAATGCAGTGATTTGTTACACTCATAATCAGCTTCTGGATGATCACTATAGACAATTCTGGTTTCAGCCAACATATTTATGTTTTTAAATGGTCTTAAGAATATTCTAGGTGATATCTGGAGCTCAGTGTTGTTTCTCCCTTGGATTTGAATTTTCAGATAACTGGAAATGCGTGTTTCTTATATTCAAGTGGTGTTCATATTTTGCTCTGGCTCAAAATACTTCCATAGCATGATGGCAATCTTAGGAGGTTTTTTTTATGGTTTGTCATTACCTTGGCTATAAGGTTTTTGGAGGTCATTGTTACACCCCTCCTGATACTGTTCTTCAATTTATGACTGTGTCTCTGAGAGGCAGTTTTCAGCATCTGTTGACTTTATGATGTTTTTGCCCACACCACTCAACCTATTCCCAAACCCTGCTTGTGCATGCCTTTCATTACTGCAGCCAACCCTAAAGTATGTCTTTAAAATCTTAAAAATAACTCAGCCAGCTTTTAGAATGTCTTAATTCCCCAACCTGAGCAAGTTACACACTTGCATAAGCAACTCTTTGAGCACAGCTTGAGAAGTGCTGTGCCTACAGTCCAGGAGTAGGAGTGAACAGCTGAAAAGATGGGGCATGGGAATACCTTCCAGTGGTATTGACCCAGAATCCTTCATCTTATGAAACCACAGCCCTCTCCCACACAGTAGGTCGCTAGAACACTTTTTGCTTCCAAACACCAGTGTTACTCACTGCAGTGCCCTGCATCTGAGGTGAGCATCAAACACAGAAATCCTGAATGTGACAAGTAGAGCAGCCCTGGCTTCTGGCAAAAAAGAGGTGTGGATTTCAGATCAGAAAGAGAGTCTTGTTACCAAATATAGCAGAAAAGGCAAGGTGTGAATGAACTTCCTTCTGGTGGCATTCCCTGCAGCTCAGGATTAAAGCGTAGTGAAGAGGGAATGTGTTGAAGTTCACGAGACGGTTGCCAGTGGGTTGCTTTTGCATGGGTAGCAGCAAATGAAGAAACAAAACGACATTAAAAAAAAACAGCCTTCAACACAAAATTGGCCAATCCAATCTATATGACATGTTCATTTTAATTAAACAAACTGGTTACTTTTTAAACTGTGTTGCTATAATGAAATAGAAACAAAAAAATTCCTCTCCCCATGTCTCCTGGAACATGAAAGCATTGAAGCAGTTTGCAATTAGCAGACTGCTTTCTGATTGCTGCCTGTTGACTGGGGGAAAACGGGCAGACAATCCGTTTCTCTCTTTCTACTCTTCTATGTCTGAGGGGTATTATGCTGTCTGGTAATAGGGTTGCACTCCATTCTTAGCTAGCTATTAGTGATCTGAATGTTTAACATCACTCTGTATTGCTATTCCTTATTAGAATGCAAGCAAAACTTTCCCCTGTGGCTCCGAACACTTGCCGTACCTTTTGGGAAGTAAGAATGGTGTTATAGAGAAGCCGGTACTGCAAAAAGAAGGGATGAATCTCACGGCTGTCACTGTGGCTGTGGAGAACGGACATACTGTGGCCTTTCTTGGAACGTCAAATGGCAAAATTCTTAAGGTAACAAACTGGATTTAAAAGACTGGAAGGTGTTTTAAAGGTTGCGAACTGTAGCGATAGTGTACTTCTGCTCTAAAAGTAAATGGGATTTATAAGATCGCGTACCAGGAGCAAATTCTCTGGGAGCTTGGTATTTTTAATTTCAAAGAAAAACCACATTATTTCTGCTGTACCTCAGCTATTGGATACACAGATTGAATTAGCATCGCCTGAATGACACTTTTCCCAAAGGATTAGATACCTACTGAGAGCCCTATATATACAGCCTTAGGTAATCTAACAGCTGCTCTAGCCTTATCTCTATTCAAGTCCATACTAGTTTAAGAGCAACTTTTCATTTTGTAATCATTCTAGCCATTCAGTGAATAGAGGTGGCAGCACAAAGCCCAAGCTGGAGCTCTGCTAAATTCTGGCTGTGTGGTGGGGGGCTCAAGGGTTCACGTGTTTGTGGTGTTAAAATGTCAAGACTGCAATGACAAACACCTTCTTTTGCTTGAAGGGTAGTGATGACCATGTGCCATTACATGGTTTGAAATTTGAAGTTGAAACCATTGGTTACCATAAGGGAAGATGAAAAAATTGAACACATTCAAGTGCAAAGGCTCTGAATTGAGAATTTCAATTTTATAGCACTAAAATGAATCAGTATTTACAAAAAAAATCCCAATACAAATATTAGCTCTTGTGGGCAGTGAGAAATTTCCTTTCATGACTTTTATGCTTTTCTTGTTGCTTTTAGTGCCATCTATTTCAAATTGAAATATTTTCCCTAATGTGAATTTGTAAACTTGAGTAAACAGAGGATTTTCATTGATCATAGAATCATGGAGTCATTTATGTTGGAAAAGACCTTTAAGATCATTGAATCCACTCATGAACCTAACACTGCCAAGTCCACTGCTAAACCATGCCCCTGAGTGCCACCTCCATACATCTTTTAAATACCCCCAGGGATGGTGGCTCCACCACATCCCTGGGCAGCCTGTTTCAATGCTGGGTAACCCTTTCAGCCACTCTTCCCCAAGCCTATAGTGCTGCATGGGGTTGTTGTGACCCAAGTGCAGGACCCAGCACTTGACCTTGTTGAACCTCATACAGTTGGCCCTGGCCCATCAATCCAGCCTGTTCAGTTCCCTCTGTAGAGCCTTCCGACCCTTGTGTAGATCAACACTCCCCTCATGAACCTAACACTGCCAAGTCCACTGCTAAACCATGCCCCTGAGTGCCACCTCCATACATCTTTTAAATACCCCCAGGGATGGTGGCTCCACCACATCCCTGGGCAGCCTGTTTCAATGCTGGGTAACCCTTTCAGCCACTCTTCCCCAAGCCTATAGTGCTGCATGGGGTTGTTGTGACCCAAGTGCAGGACCCAGCACTTGACCTTGTTGAACCTCATACAGTTGGCCCTGGCCCATCAATCCAGCCTGTTCAGTTCCCTCTGTAGAGCCTTCCGACCCTTGTGTAGATCAACACTCCCACCCATCTTGGTATCGTCTGCTGAGACGATCTACTGAGAGTGCACTTGATCCCCTCGTCCAGATCCTTAATAAAGATATTAAACAGAAGTGGCCCAAATTTGAGCCCCAGGGAACACCACTTGTGACCAGCTGCCAGCTGGATGTAACTCCATTCACCACAACTCTTTGGGCCTAGCCATCCAGCCAGTTTTTTACCCAGCGAAGCATGTGCCCACCCAGGCCATGAGCAGCTGGTTTCTCCAAGAGAGTGTTGTAGGAACCAGTGTTAAAGGCTTTACTAAAGTCAAGGTAGACAACATCCACAGCCTTTCCCTCATCCACTAAATGGGTCACCTTATCATAGAAGGAGATCAAGGTAATCAAGCAGGACCCGTCTTTCTTAAACCCGTGCTGACTGAGCCTGATCTCATCCAATAAAGGATGGAGAATCTCCTTAGCCCTCCTTTTGTTGTTAATATATTTATAGAAATATTTTTAATCATCTTTTATGGCAGTAGCCAGATATAGGGGAAAAAAGCAACATTAACCACCTTTCTTTCTTCCATGAAACAGGTGTTCCTTTCATCTGCTGCGACTGAGTACAGCTCTCTTACTATTGAACTAAACAAACCCATAAAGAATGACCTGGCTCTTGACCGAACCCAAGAAAACCTGTATGTGATGACCACAGACAAGGTAACATGTCCTGCTTGCATTAAAGACCGGTTCCACTTTCACTTTGTCTGCAACTTTACCTGAGATTTGTACATTTCTCACTTGTTCCTGGAAGTTGCCCCATTTGGTGAGGCTTCCCCCACTCTGTGTATATGAATACCTTTCTCAAGTCCAAGCTGATGAACTTGATTCTTGTGACTTGGAGAACTGTGCTTGGTGCTTAGGGATTGGGAATGGGAAGTGAATTCCCCTCTAAAGCTCTCTTATGGGGTCTGGTAGAAGGATGAAGTTGAGATGTTTGGCACCGACACCAGCACTCCATGGGGTCAGGCAACCCTAGCGCTCAGTGTGGTGTCCTTGGGGTACCAGTGGATGCTCTATCTGCCATTGGTCCTTTTCAAGAGTACTTCAGGATTTAGGATGCTGGCAGCTGACATAACAACATTTACCCATCTGTAAAACTGCCAGGAGTTTTTGTGGGTCTTGCCATCAAAAACTAAGAAACAACTGAGAGAATTATAACTTTGGGAAATGCTTTTGTTTGAGCTTCTGCTATTCAAGTGAGTCAGCGGGAAAGGTTGGACTTGGCTATGGAAGGTACAGGCAGTCTCTTCTAGGTTCCCCTTCTCTGTGGTGGCAGGTGAGGCACAACAGAGGTTTGTAAAGAAAGGAGAAAAGAAAGCAAGTAGGAGACAAGAGGGGATACCAGATTTGTCCTTCATCTCCACCTGTAACCCTCTTCTGACACTTTCTTCGTGGTGGCTGGAGCTGCAAGCCTCAGATGCATGGTTCAGCAGCTCTCCAGGACGGGATGGGTGACAGGCTGCCACCATCTGCAGCATTGTCAGTGGGAATGGGATGTGGGAAATGCAGTAGTATGGGGACAATGAAAGGGGCTGTGAAAGAAGACTCTTTGGGGAAAGCAGTGCAAGAGAGTTCTTTGTTTTATAAAAGGATTAATATAAATTCCTGCTGCAGGAGTGTTATATTCTGGCTGAAGGCTAGAAGTGCTGGATAAGCGACTGATAAGGCATTTCATAATATGACAGTGTGTGTGAGCAGTTACTTAATATTTTTGTTTGGAGTAGTTGGTACTTCTCGTTTGGCTGTGATTCAGATTTGGAACAAAACTCCAAACTTCAACGTTGTCCACAGAAGCCTGGCACCCCACTTGACAAGCTGGCACTGTGCTTAAGAGCCCTGAGGTCCCCGCCACGCTCTGGCGTGAGCTGCTGAGCAGCATTAGGGGTGGCAGCAACCTTGGAGGAAGACAAATTTTCTGGTGACGGTCTGCTTGAACTGGTAGAATTTAGGAAGGCCACAGAACAATTTGTCAGAGAAAATTTGAAAAAAAAATAATTCCATCTCTACAAAATGTTTAAATTTAGAAAGCAGCAAATTTCTGCCAGAGAAAGGATTTCAGTTTAATCTTTTCCAAGTAGCCCTCATAGACACTGCAGTTTCTGAATAATGCGAATAATAGTTTTCTTTTACAAAACCTGTTCAGCTTAAATATGAATAACTAAAGTTGAGAGCTCTGTAATGGCATTACATTACTGTCATCTCTGGGAGTTAATTACAATGAGCGGTCCCACCCACTTTTAGAAGCAGATAGACAGGAGGAGAATGGGGGCCTTTGGAGCAGGGAGAAAAGAAGAGACGTAAGTGGGGGGAGAAGAATAAATGTTGAAACGTGCACTTCTGGGTTAAGCACAGCTGGGATTTGTGGGAATAGAGATATCAGAAGCCTGCCCTGGGAGTTAGAACGGTTTAGAGTTATTTAAAATAAGGTAAACAATAAAGGGCAGGCTAGCTGCGCTGATAGGCCTGCTTAATGCTAAGCTACCTGGCAGATGCAGCCTTCGAAATGAATTGCCTGGGCCCTGTAAGCACTTGAGCAAAGTGAAAGGGATGATGTGGTGGGTGATAACTTGAAACAGCCTTTAAAAAGCAATCAGATCGAGAGAAATACAGGGAAGAAGGATACAGAGGTTAAGAGCCATAGTGAAAAAATAGCTCTTGCTTTCCTGATTCACTTCTCCTCCCCCTCCCCTCCCAGCTTCTCCTGCTGTGTCAATAGCAGTGGGTGGTTTGGAGCAAATGCTTTCAAAAGTCAGCCCTCTCCTCTCCGCTCTGCTCCCAGAGCTTGGGCAGCGAGCAGGAGAAACCCCTTGCAGCTTCTTGGGGGCCTTGGAAAGGAGAGTACCACCCCTGGCACGTTCAGGCTGGTTCGTGACAAGTGAACATCACTGGTAGGATCCCAGATTCCTTATGGTACGTACCATATTGGGAGGAAAGCAGAAGCCTGTGGCAGTCACTTACCACAATCACTAGCCTATGTGCTTGTTTTAGCTTTTACCACTCTCTTTGATTAAGAGTGACAATTAGAAAATCTCTAAAATTAGCTTCTCTGCATTTTGAAGCTGGCTGCAAATGGAGCTGCTATTTTTATTTTTTTAAAAAAATCCATTAAGTTTACATAAAACTTGCACAGACGGCAATCTCTAGGGCTTGTTTCTGCCTGCCAGAATTATGAAATAAATACTTTGTCATAAAAAAAAGCCATTCACTGGATATTAAATTACTCATGGGTACCAGTTAGTGAAACAGAGTGCCAGTAACTCAGCTCCAGTTAGGTAAGCATCTGTGGAAGAAGGAGGGCGCGGAAAGAGTGCTGAAAAGGTAAACCTCTGGGTTAATATATGCAAGAAAACTACCCGATACCGATATTTTCCTTAACTGAGTCAGACTGAACTCTCTGAAAGTGAAAGAAAAGGCCAAACTCAGATTTTCAAAGTAGCTTTGTAACTGCCAGTTGCCTTAAATGAGAGGAGAAGGTAGCAAAAAGAAAGCTTACATCTCAGAGTTACTGTTGCTAGACTTTTTGTGCTCTTTAAAAGTAGAACATAGTCATGGACAGGAAGACGCGTGTCCCATTCTCCTCTTGCATCATTTCAGCAGCAAAACTAAAAGGGATGGTTGTGTGCTGGCTTCTTTTTCTGTGCACCAAAGAAAGACAAAATTGTTTATTCTCAGCACTAAAGGAAATCAAAACCAGAAGCTGTATATTTACTGGGGGACTGAGACATGAGAACTGATGATGCTCTTTTCCCTGCTGCTTCCTGTCATAATTATTTCCATTTTCCTTTGTGAATGTACTGCGTGGTGGAGGGTTATGCGTGGAGAAGAGCAGTAACCCGAAGCGCCCTGGCGCTCTCATGCTTGCAGACTTTCTGAAATGCCTTCTGGCTAAAAGTGCCACTGATGGTTGCTTTTCCAAATGATTTCATCTCCGTGCTAGTGATATGGAGGGGAGGATATTTTGTTTTAAAAAATGATCTAGCCAGTACCAAGTTAGCCTTTTGGAAGTGTGTGTTCTGCAAGTAGCTGTTTCTTGAATTCAGAGCATTTTTGACACAGTTTCTGTCCTGCGATGCCTGCTGTAACGCGGATTTCCAGAAGTAATGTAACTGGAGGAACTGAAAAGCTTGATTTTTGTAAGACTTCCTCATGATTCTGAATTATAACAATGTCCTATGTTACTTTGAAGAGAGATTAGAGAATATTGGAGTGAAAAAAAAAGCAGGAAAAGTGTGTGGATTTGGACTTTGCTAAGGGGGAAAGAACCAGACTGTGGTTTTGTATGGATATTCTTACAATCAAGCTGAACTCTTAGCAAATAATACAGGGTCAAGTATGCTGCTGCCACAGGCAACAGTGCTGTACAACGACGTTTCCATCTCCTTGTGACCTCCTCAGATCCCTTACGGTTTGCCTTACTTTTGGTTCTTCAGGTGCATCGGCTACCTGTGCAGAACTGCCAAGACTATTCAGACTGTGAAAAGTGTATTCAAGCGAGGGATCCATACTGTGGCTGGTGTGTGAGAGAGGGCAGGTGAGTGCTGCTGGTGCTTTTTTGGGTGCAAACGGTGGAATAGCTCAAATTTTCACACTTGCCGTGGGTTACTGCTCGGTGTAGCAACCTGAGCCTTACGCCTCTGATAGTGATTTAATTTTATCGCACAGACATTGCTATCAATCTTCTGTGCACACAAATAAGTCCCCATTGACTTCTGCAGATTTCATTAGTTTGGGAAAATATATACTTCTGTACTGGTACTGAAAATCAGTATATATCTAGCTGCATGTTTTATCACTCTCTGAACTGTATGCTGAAATGTTCTCCCAGAAATTAAAAGAGTGCTTCCTGTTTAATATTCAGAAAATATAGCACATAAAGCAGGAAGGTGTTAAACTGCATGAAAGAAAAAACCTGTTCATGTCCGAAATAAAGTATATATCTCAAATGCAGTTTTTGTATAAATGTAATCTCTCAAGACGAGTAGCTACACTAAACCCCCACCTAACTGCAGGAGAGCAGAAAGTGGCATTTGGCTAACTGTCTGCAGAGGTTAACTGAATTAATATTCAAACACGTGTAAACTAGGACAGCACTGAACACCTCTGGAATGTCTCTTCTTTGCAGTCTTCATTGATTGGAGTGGCAATAGGGAAGAGCGGTCCTGCAGCTCTCTTTTTGACTACTAAGTTAATTATCCCCTTGGCATGAGCGGTTGGGAATCTATGATTCTAAGTACGTGCTGTTGGAACAAAGGGGCTATTTAATTATAGTATGCAGATGAATTTCAGGCTTCTAGCTTCCTCTCTGAAAATGTGAACTATCACATTAAGTTACTTATCAGCCTGATGTGTAGCAGAACATGGAACACTGCAGAGAAACTTATGCAGTGCATGCAGCTTTATGCAATACACTGTAACTCCTCCAGCCTGGGCTTTGGTTGCTGTGGATGAATCCTGGGATTTGGAATATACACCTCAAACTCCTCCTGGGTTGCTGGGAGTTGAAGGCCATGTCATATATCATACAAAAGGCAATTTTCCTTAGATTTCCCTTCAGGTTTCTGATATGAACACTGACCTCAATATCTCAAAGTATTAATGGTGTCTGGGAACAGGCAAACATGAATTTTTGCATTTGCTAGTATTTATTTCCAATGAGGAAAAAAATATGTTTAATTTCTAATGTTTTTCCCACCTGCAGCAAGTTGTGTCTCATGATCACACACAACACTTAATAATGTGTTTAGGGATATGTTATATGAATGAACACTCTGTATGTAAATTATATCTTTAAGGGTAGGGCTGACTGAGCTGTGCAGTAACCGCACTGTGTTAAAGCCCCTGATGAGTTAATAGTCTTCTGCTCCAACAGCCAGAGATCCTGCAGCATTTTCTCCTAAGCTTTGCACAGAATGGGAGGAATACGCATGAGACTGTCCCCACAAACGCTTCAACAAGCTGCTGTAGCCACGTATGCAGCTTCTGCGCTGCAGTGTCTCTTCTTTCTGCCCTTCTTTTACATGAGCTGGGAAAATCTCCCAGTACTTTTGGTGAGGCTGCACAACTGCTATCGTCTTCCTCTTAATGGTAATGGTGCCCTGGCAGAGAAAGGTCTTAAATAGTGGCAGGAATTAATGAAAACATTGACTACAAAAGTAACATTTCTGGTGCTGTGGTTGCACAGGAGGCCTCCACAAGCCTTTGTGCCCCCAGCAATACTCCTATTGCATTGGTGCTCTCATGCGTCAGGTCTCTTTTTACTGGCGACACATGGTTGTCTGCCTCTTGACCTGCCTCTTGACCTAGACTGTGCCCACCCATTCAGGAGCTTGTTTTATGTTACAATGAAGGTTAAATCACCCTGGTTTCAGATGATCAGCGATGGCTCCATTGCCTGATGGCTCCTGTGCTAAATATTACTGCCTCTGTATGGGTTTGGGTTGTCTAATCCAAGGTGGTGTCCAGAATATTATATGTTTCCCCACTTGCTTTTGATATCTCAAACCATCAATACTTATTCCTCCACTTATTCTCTTAAAAGTTCTCTATTAACAACCTGAATGGTCAATATTAAAGCCAATTCCCAGTCATCTTGTGTTGTAATTTCAGTCTCTAATCCTGAAATTGTTATAGTTCAGAAAAAGCAGAATCTGGCTATAATATTGCTTTGCTTTGGTTTTTGTTCCTGTTTTGTCAGGTGCACAAAGAAGACAGACTGTGGAACAGCTGATAAGGAGAACCACTGGCTGTGGAGTCCAAGTGGCACATGCATGACTATCATTAATGCAAACCCTCTAAATATGAGTCGCAGAGCCCCCACAAAGGTATGACAAGAAAGTGCTTTCCCTACATGTTCTTAAGTACATTGATGTGACTACCAAGAAGGTGAATATCTGCATTTCTTTATGCGCAGTGGTGACTAGGAATATAATACTGTCTTGGATATCTCAGTCTCTGGCATTTCTGACAGTGCTCTTTCTTGCTACTCTTTTTGGAGGTTGCAGTTTATGTTTTCTTCTAAGAAATGCTCTTTTTGACCTTCTCTGTAAACCAAAATGATGCACTACTATGGATGATAAAGCACTTAAACTTATCTGAATATTATGAAAGTGTTGCACCATGTTGTGTAACCCATAAAAAGTAATTGATAGGGGAGATTTCATGCTGCCCTTTCGGCTTGCTTGAGCATAAACTTAAATAAGTAGCGAAGCATAAGCTGTTGCTTTAAAATCAGCAGTGGATTTGCCTACACAGTGAAGTCTGGGTACATGGAGAAGGTAAATTCAAGTCAGTTTAATTCCATTCCTAAATTATGTAAACAGCATAGTGTTAAGGCCATTTCTATGCTGAAAAAAAATGTTAGTGGAGTGTAACTAAATCCACTTAAAATCCACACCTTCTTGTAGTTCAGATCTTGTCAACTTCTGGTATCTCACATAAGCATCTGAGGCCAAAATACCTAAAAACCAAAACCAAACCCAACTTCAAATGAGTGTTTACATGCTGTCTGTGCCATCACTAATGCCACTGTCTCCTTATGATTCCTTTAATCATCAAAAATCATTACATAGCGGACCCGTTTCAGTGTGAAAGCGATGATTGTCATTTCTACTGGCAATACAAAATGGAAAAAGTTAAACTATATAATTAACACACCTTAAGCATTAAATCAAGGACAGCATCCAACATTTCATTTCGTTTTTTTCCTCTTTCCTTGTTAAGTTTTCCTATTTTATTTTGCTTTTAGTTTTTCACATGCACGCTGTGTTGACAACTTTCTTGAGGAGGTTAAGATCTCACCATCACTCTTTCAGAAATCCTTTTTCAGCAGCACTGATAGATCTCAGTGGGGTTTTTGCAGGTACATTGAGTCTCGAGGAAGTCACTTTTATGTTCAGACCTTTCAAACTCCAGCTTTTCCAGCCCATCCAGTCATGGTTTCATTATTCACTAGTAACACCTAAGGTTAATGTAAATTTAATTAAGTTTTCAGGATTTAAGTGCTAACCACTCTGTTTACTATTGCTAAACTGGATGCTGAGAACAAGAATAAAAGGCTTTGGGTGTGTCTGTACAGACATTTTTGTTTTGAACTAATGCATTGACAGGACAAGAGGGTTTTGCATGAGTCTTAATTCGATATATACCCAGCTTGAAAAAACTGGTAGAGGTATAAGAAGAAAAGAGTAGCGGATGGGAAGAAGTGAAAATAGAGAACCATCTTCTGTGACACTAGCCAAAATATCATTGCTGGCCAAAAAAAAAGAGCAATTTAAATTCTCTGGCCATAAATCTTACTGGGTCTTGTTTTGCTTCTTTCAGATATTTTACCCTTTTTAAATTTTGTTTCCAGGTGGAACTGACTGTAAGTCCATTGCCAACTCTGACTGACAGTGACACGGTTTTGTGTACATTTGGTGGAACAGCCCGTGATGCTCAATTAAAAGATGGGGTTATTATCTGTGATCCACCCGATATAATTCCTCCAACACCAAGAGGTCAAGGTAAAGAAATATTGCTACCCTCCATGTATAATAAGGGGAAAGAACATAGCCTGCTGCTTCTAATGTGATGTTCTTATATAAGCTGCATACAAGTTTCTTTTCCTCTTCCAGTCCCTTTCCCCAAATACTCTATTGCTGAACTTTGTCCATTCAAACATATGGGAAAAAAAAATTTAAAAAATAGATGTTTGCTCAAACCTTTTCCATTGCTGCATTTACAGGCATTCCAAGTGTTTCCACCAGGAACCTGAAACAGGAGCTTGGCAGAGGCACAGGGACAGAGCCAGAGAGGTGTTACTCTGTGTCCCAAACAATGAAAACCCAACTCTCTAATTTTACCCTAATAATTTCGAGCTGTGGGGACAGAAAAGCTGCACACGTGCTTCAGATGTGAAGTTTTCTGTCTCTGATGTCTTAGTTTTGCTCTAGTCATCTGTAGTTCAGTGGCTTGTTTTCTGGTCCGTGTCACAAGGATGTTCTTTCTTTCATAAAGGCTTCTGCCTTTTCTGCTATGTGCCCTCCAGCTTCTGCTATAGTAAGTCCAGTGGAAAAATATGTGATCGTATAATTAAAGGCTGTATCATTGTTCTGAACCACTGATTATATGCTTAAGGTCTGTTGCCAACCATAATTCTTGTGCTATTTCCTAGATAGTGCTTTGTTCATGCTTTAAGTTCATACATCTTTACGCATAAACACATGGAATAAAACTGGTTACACAGCACTGATTACTATGTATCAAGTTTAAAGAAGCTAAAAGAAAAAAAAAACTTGCTTCAGACTGCTAATAGTGTTATTAATTTAGCTTGAAGCTAATGACATAATTATTAATATGAACACTGAATTTGCTAGCTATTTGCCTCACTTAAACTTTTGACTCAACCCTGCCAATTTTGCACCAAGTTCATGAGAGTCCTTGGTGGGGAGATGGCTGGGATGCTGGTGGATACAGGACGTACTGTGAAAAGCAGTGGTGCTCCTCATCCCTTAATTTAATTACAGTGCCTGGAGAGACCTTTTCCATGTTGGAAAGGTCTAGAAACAGGAAGACACTTCTGTTTGGGTTGCTGTTCCATTTGTATGTGGCAGTACTGTTTTACTGTAGTTGCGTGAGATACTGGAGCTGGATGAGATCCCCTGTTTCATCCCTATCCTCCCCACTCAGAGACTGGGAGACACAAGGAAGGAGACAGGTTGGGTGATCTTTGGTAACATGACTTGGTGACAGATTCTCAAAACTTGTCTTCTGCCTTTGTGGGAAGCTTGATAGGGATGACCTTGTAGGTAAAGCTCAAGAAAAGTCCTTACGTACTATTTGGGTGGCTTTGTGCATGCCACACTGGTTAATCCTTTCAAAGCTGTCCCTTTGCCCTTGAGCTCAGGTAGCCAGGCTGTGGGATACCTCAGTAGCTGCTCGAGTTAATGGGATCTCTCAGGGAGTGAGTTATCTGAGCTCTTTTTGCAAGAGGCGTTGCTGATACCTCAGATCTTCTGAAAGATGAGAGTCTCCAGAGTGATGTAAGGATCTTCTTCCCTGTGCCCCTCTCCCAGGGGAACCATCCTGTGTGCGATGTCCCCTCTCAGCCACCACTGGCCTCTGCTGATGCTGCAGGCGTGAGCGATAGGTTTACTCCTCTTTGGGCCGCGAGTACACACAGGTCATTCTTGCCAGATGAAACCACGGTATAGGAAACCTTTGGTTTCAATAACCTGAGTTTGTGGTTCCATGTGTCTTCATTTGTTTTAGCCAGGGATTGCAGAAAAACACCTGCAGAATGCACAGGGACTGAGGGTGTAACATTCATTATTTCCTTGGTAAATCTGTCATTTCCAACCAGTCCTTGTCAAAGAAGATCCATATCAATATAGCTATTACGCATATTAAAAAAAGAAATATTATTGAAAATTACTAGAAAAAAATATGAAAAGCAATTTAGAATTTGCCTTGTGAAAGTAAGCAAGACTTTTGTCTTTCATATCAGGAGTAAAATCTATGAGTATTTGTCCTTTTTTTGCCACTTTTCCAGCGGTTTGACCAGATGGGATGGTTTCTCCCCTACAAGGACGGCCTATATCTTGGCAAATTGTGTTTTGAAGAGCAGTGAAAGAGAAGGGAAAACTACTCCTTTTATGTTTGAGTAATACAGGCTATTACAGCTTCCATTGAAATGGGTATTGGTTTTTCATTCTCCACAAAGTGACCTCCCACAACTCATGGATACCCATCACAGTGGTCCCTATTCTCGGTGGTTACTAAACCAATTTTGGACCTATGCCATAGTCTACAAAAGAAGTTCTCTCCAAAGCTTTTCCAGCCTATTGCCTTGCTTTTAGGAAATGAGTTTGAATCCCATGGAGTGTTTTTCTAGGTGATTTCTTATTTGAACCAGTGAGCTCCATCATTCATTGGTTTTAGGAAATCGTAATAAAAGTTGTAGCTGGGGAGGAGAGTGCTCATGTTAACCTACAGTTCTCACAGATTTAGAAGCCTTGGAATCCAAACTGAAAATCTGTTCATCCCCTGCCTCACATACATTCTCCAATTCCTATTCTGAATTCCTTTAGCTTAAAAAATAAAGTTTAATTCTTTCTGACTTGCGGCAAACCTAATAGAAGTTAAAAACATAGTTATCTAAATGAGGGAGAAGGAAAATTTCTTCTAATTCATCTTTCCCAACATCTCTAAGCCATTTGGGTACAGTCTTTGGATGTTCACCTCTTTTTATGTTGCAATTTTCAGGTCTTTTAACAAATTTTTGTTCTATTTATGAATTTTTTTACCACTTTGCAGTCTTTTGGGTCTTTGAGATTAGGGGAAAGTTTGCAGTGAGAACCACAGTTCTCTGCATCACTTACTGATAAAGCGGATCAGTATCTGCCTCTCTTGGCCAGAAGCATTTGTCTCTAGACCCAGAATTTCAAGTAACAAAACTTTATCTGCATGAGATAATAGAATTTAATTCAGTGTATATATATGGTTAGTGAGGAACAACTCTGCAAAAACACCACAGAAGGTAAAGTGGCGTATTCCTACGCTGAAGACTTTCTTGTCCATCATTTATGGGAATATCACTTAGTTTAGTTATTCCAACTTCAGACAAAACTTGTTTTTCTTTCACTTCAGCTGAAATGAATGTAAGAAATGAGGTAACATAGAGCAAAAGTTATACTGAAGGCCAAAAAAAGGTGGCTGGGGATGGCTGAAAAGTTGAAGGTTCCCGTATACAGGTACAGCAGAGGATCGTGCAGTGAAGGAGGAAAATACCTGCCACATCCATGTCAGCATGTTGCTAGTGCTAATTCTTAAGTGTGTTTATAACACTCAGAAGTCAATTTGTAACTCACTTTGTAGTTATTATAGATGCTCTTTTTTTCTGCATGCCTTTTGAAGAATTGACTTACTTAAGGTTGTTGGTCTTGCTTGAGTAGAAAGACATAAAGTTATGGGTACTTAAATTAAAATTGATCTAGCAGCGGGGCAGAGGGCTGGTAGCTGTGTCATTCCAACACAGTGTCACTTTGTGGCAGTTCCCCTGTATGAATTGTTCTCCTGGGTGTTCTGCATTTCCTGCACGGAATTTCTGGAGTTTCATATTTCTTGTAGCAGCAAGACACTGTTTTTTTGATGGGTTTCTTTTGAAGTGCTTGGTTGCTGCCATCTCTCTTTCCTTGTCACCTGCTGAATCTCTGAGAGACTGGGGAGGGTTTGTATGTTATCCACAATTTATTTTTAATTAACACCCACCTTTTTATATATATATTTTTTTTTTAAATCTTTGAGAGTGTGTTTATCATTACTGCCATCCTTTTAGGATATTCATCGAAATCTCGTTCAGTTTTCTCTAAGGCATATGAATTGGAAGAGGAGTATGTTTTGAGATGGGGGAAGGGGTAGGCAAGGCAATGAGGAAAATGGGAGGAATCCAAAAAGGAAATGACTTTGCAATTCAGATAATCTTGATGGGAGAGTGATAAAGATGATTCTAATGATGTTGCAGGGGGGATGGGGAGCAAGAGACAGGATGGAGACAAGACTTCGAGAGAGAAAAAAAAGCAATGTGGTCAACTGCTCTTTTGGGCTTCTTTTATCCTGAGTCTGCCGAGGGCTTAAAACTAAGTGCAAACTGAGGTCAGAAGATATATGTCAGTTCTTAGGACCAGGGCATGACTTTGAGTAAGCCATACAGGCCCATGTGTAATTAAAGTATGTGATTGAGCCATTGGAAATACATTTGCCGTGCTGAACATCTCGGATTCCATGGTTTCCTGGGGTTTCTTACTCATTTTCTCTTGTGTTTCCATGACTTGTTCATTTTATACAGAAGTTTTTCACAGCAGGAAACTGTTCCTTGATACATTTCCATAGCACCTAACTCAGTAGGGCATCTGTGTTAAGAGCAGCCCTGTAGGTCCTACCACACCAGCTGGCAGTAGCAGGATTCCTCCAGCTGCTACTTCCCAATTAAGACCAGGTGAGAATGAGCTGTGGTTGTAGTGCATCTCATTGGATTTTGTTTGCTTTTTTTTTTTCCTTAAGCCTGGTACTTGAGAAGTCCATGGGAATTTAGTTCTGGATCTTTTCCATAGCACATTTAGTTTTTCTTTACTGTTTGCTTTGAAGGGAGAGGAAGGGGGAAATGAAAGCAATGGGTACAGAGAATGAAGAACTGTTACCTTGCATGGAGGTCTGAGATAATCTAATGGTGTTTGGCATGAGATTGGAGTGGCAGGGAGTAAATGCCAGGAAAAAAAAGACAAAAAAAAAACCCCAACAACCCAGAATTAATGGAGAATTCATGCAGGGCTGAATAATTGAAGTAAAAAATTTGATGAGTCAACAAGGCAGCAAATATTAGGGAGGAAGCAGTACCCGTTTTTGTACAGAGAGATGAATTACTCCTGTAAGAGTGTGGTTAAGAGGTGCAAAGTGTACTTTTCCTTAAATTCTGGCTCTGGTATGAACTAGCAAGGCTCTTTGTTCAGTCCGTGGGATGAAGGCAGGTGTACTGCAAATGCAGCTTCTGTGTCATTAAGCTGGCTGCCACAAATGGACAAAATGATTTTTTAATGCACTGAAATAAATGGACATGGAGGTGAACCGAGTACAGAAATTAAGGTACAATAAATTACTTTCCATTCATTTGAGGCATATTTTATAAGCAGAGCTATTTATGGCTTTTTTTTGACTGAGAGCAGAGATGATAATAATCTGACAATAATTACCTTGTGGAAAAAAACAGGAACAAATGAATCTGAATTCTTCAGCGTTTGATCCTCATGCAATAGATAGTGGAATGATAAAACTTTTATGGAACAACATTGCAGTGGTATGTCAAGCTGTTTTTCTATTTTATTGCAGAGAACTGTAAGGGAAAATATTTGAAACTAGATGACATGCATTATGACATACCATTTAGCCACGGAGACGTAAGCTGGGATCAAAGCGTGTTTGGAAAATTGAGGTCCTTGGGAGCAGGAAGAAAAGAGGAGTTTCTGACAAATAAGATCAGAATTCTTCTGGGTTCCTTAGAACGGGTCTAAGGTTGTTGTAGAGAGGTCCAGCACTTCATTACGTTGCAAGGCATGTGCTGAAGTCCGTGTGTCTGAAGAATGGGTTATAATTCTTAGCCTTTTCTTGGTCACTGTCATACGAGGTCAGCCTATCATTAGAAGTCAGGCTTGTGCTGTCGGTAATGTACTGTCTCTTCTTTGACCTCATTTTACAGTTAGCTACTCAGTTTGGTACATGATAAGAGCTCTAGCAAAACAAGATTGAAGTTAGTCTTTTATTTTGTCTTCGTTATTATCCTGAGTTACATTTAGTAGGTTTTTGCTTTCTTAGAATCGCTCGGCTTTTAGAAAAGCTTTTCTCACACGTGCATTTTGTCCATAGAGGAGCAAACTGCAGTCAGTGCTGGACGGCAGGAGTTGTCTCTCTGCACTGCTGGCAATGCCGGGGTGGTTTGGGGAGCTTCCCTGCTCGAACTTTTGCAGCATGGTCGTTGACGTTTAACCTTAGTTATCCAGTGTAAGTGATGATTCAGGCAATTCTCTTTCACATCCCACCAGAATCTATTGCTGCTGCCAAAACAGAAGTTAGAGCCGACACTGGAGCATGGTTCCTTTATTATTTTTTTTTTTCTTTTTCAGTTCCTCGTTTTGGTATTCTATGCTATTTTCCCTTTCCTACAAGGCTTTCACCTGTTAGGTTACTTTGTTAAATGGTTCTCTTTTCTGGGTTTTTATTTTTTTTCCTTTTTCTTCACAGTTCCAGGTATTTTCATATTTAACTTGAGATTCCCTGTAAGTTTACAGGTTCTTTTCTCATCAGACTATGGAGTCAGTCACATGGCTGACTGAAAATGAAAATACTGTGGGTCATATTTGTTTTTTAGTACCTCCTCCAAGCAGTATTTATCTTTGACCCCTGACATCGGTGTCCAAGCATGCCACCTTCAGTTTTCTGCTCTCAGAACTAAACACTTGGAGAAAACGTTGACAAAATATTTTGTGCTTAGGAAGCCAGTTGGGACTTGCCTCATCATTTAACTCTTCAGGTTAAAATTATAGCCCTTGTTACAAGTTTCAGAAGGTTTTTGTCTAATTCCAAACAGACAGCTGATCTGCTTGGGAAGTAAAAATTCTGAAAAAAAATCCCAACCCAAACCAGTAACAGAATCTTGATCCCATAAAACTCTAAGTGGTGTTCTTCCGACAGATTTGAAGCTGTTAAATTGCAGTGCCTAAGTGCATTGAAGTGTTGGACTGTAATGCGTATCAGCAGTCAAAGGCAATGTTGCATATTAAGGGCTCTCCTGTCTCCCAACCTTTACATTGATGAAAGATTAGTGTAATGCCTTCACGAAGAACATCAGCACCCAGATCCAGACTTCCTTGTAGTCAATGGAAGGGTTTTTTTCCTTTCTGGGGAAGTCCTGCAACACCAAATGTCTCAAACACTGTTATGTAAATTCTTCCCTTCTATTAAGGGGGAGCCACCCAAAACACTGGGATTGTCCAACGTATTTATAAAATCTCAAAAATCAATAATTCACACTGTGTGAATTATTCTGGAGAAGCAATACCACTTCTTGGCACTCTGTGTTTTTTCAGATTGTCTGTTGTCATTGTACTTTAGCAGGAATTGATTATCTAATTGGTTATATGATAATCATTTAGACATATGACCTTGTTTAATCCTTCTCCAATATATTAAATTGCTACACAATTAACAGGATTTGAGGCTTTCCATACTCTTCATGATGTCTACACATGCAGTGTGTTTGTGTCTGAAATTATGAAAGAAAAAAATCTTCATGGTGTTGAATTCTGTGTAAATTTTATTTTTCAATACGTTTCATGTTTTTACTTTCTTTCCCTTTTTAGGTATTACAGAGAAATGGCTTTATGGATCTGGACACTGAGCATTTTGAGCTGTTTTTGCATCACCTTATCCAGAAATGAGGAACCGATTCCTTTCCAGAGCGCTACAGAGCTAAATCATCTAACAGTGGATAACGACACTGGGATTATCTATTTGGGAGTGGTAAATGCTTTGTATCAGCTTACAGAAAACCTGGAAGTAATAAGGTCTGTAGAAACAGGTCCAAGAAAGGACAACAAAAAATGCACACCTCCCATTGATGAAAATCAATGTAAAGAGGCAGTACTGACTGACAATTACAACAAACTATTGTTGCTGAACAAGGCGGATAAAACAATTGTGGTGTGTGGAAGCCTTTTTAAGGGAATCTGTGCCATCAGAGATCTAGAAGACATTAGCCATGAGAAGTATTATGTAGACAGTAGCGGAGAAAAGTCTTTTGTGGCAAGCAACGATGAGAATGTATCAACTGTGGGACTGATCACTTCCTTGAATAATGACCGAGTGCTGTTTGTTGGGAAAGGGAATGGACCAAATGATAATGGGATAATAATCAGCACTCGGCAGCTCTACGAAAGGGACGGGAAAGACATTTTTGAAATGTATACAGACTCGGCAGCTGTGAAGTCAGCTTATCACTCGTCAAGCACACAACAATTTGTGGCAGTCTTTGAGGATAAAAATTATGTTTATTTTATTTTTAATCAGCAAGAGAAACAGCCCGTCAATAACCGCACACTGATTGCACGTCTGTGCAAAGATGATGCCCATTATTATTCCTACTTTGAAATGGACTTGGGTTGCAAAGATGATGATGGTGCCTATGACCACTGTCACTCTGCTTACGTCACTACCCCAGGAGAAGAGCTGGCTGAGAGCATGGCTCAGCAGAGACAAACCACGGATGCTCTCTCAGATGACAAAGTTCTTCTTGCACTCTTCAGCAAAGTAAACAAAGATAACGGCTCTCTAAAATCTGCCATGTGTGTGTTTTCCTTGCGGCACATCAATGAAAAGATGGAAAAAAACCGGAACGATTGCTACACTAAAAAGAATACCAGCTCATTTTACAAACTTTTTTCAGCAGAAAACCCGTGTGCATCACATGGACTGGTAATATCACTATCAGTTTTACAATCTGTGTTAGAATTAGTGGAAAATATACAACTGCATATTTTGGGGTGGCTTTGAGCTAAACTATAGTGAGATCAGATGACTGAAAACTCAATAGCTGGATTCACTGTAGAAATGGAACGTGGTTGGGACGGTTGCAGAACAGGTCAAGGAAGAAGTAGCAAGATAGTTATAATTCTGAGTTTCTAAAGAAATATTTTACATCTCCTGAAAAGTTAATATTGGTTTCATAAATGCATTTCTTTTAAAGGTTTCCTTTTGGTATGGAAATTACTGAGTCAAATGCAGTGATTTGTTACACTCATAATCAGCTTCTGGATGATCACTATAGACAATTCTGGTTTCAGCCAACATATTTATGTTTTTAAATGGTCTTAAGAATATTCTAGGTGATATCTGGAGCTCAGTGTTGTTTCTCCCTTGGATTTGAATTTTCAGATAACTGGAAATGCGTGTTTCTTATATTCAAGTGGTGTTCATATTTTGCTCTGGCTCAAAATACTTCCATAGCATGATGGCAATCTTAGGAGGTTTTTTTTATGGTTTGTCATTACCTTGGCTATAAGGTTTTTGGAGGTCATTGTTACACCCCTCCTGATACTGTTCTTCAATTTATGACTGTGTCTCTGAGAGGCAGTTTTCAGCATCTGTTGACTTTATGATGTTTTTGCCCACACCACTCAACCTATTCCCAAACCCTGCTTGTGCATGCCTTTCATTACTGCAGCCAACCCTAAAGTATGTCTTTAAAATCTTAAAAATAACTCAGCCAGCTTTTAGAATGTCTTAATTCCCCAACCTGAGCAAGTTACACACTTGCATAAGCAACTCTTTGAGCACAGCTTGAGAAGTGCTGTGCCTACAGTCCAGGAGTAGGAGTGAACAGCTGAAAAGATGGGGCATGGGAATACCTTCCAGTGGTATTGACCCAGAATCCTTCATCTTATGAAACCACAGCCCTCTCCCACACAGTAGGTCGCTAGAACACTTTTTGCTTCCAAACACCAGTGTTACTCACTGCAGTGCCCTGCATCTGAGGTGAGCATCAAACACAGAAATCCTGAATGTGACAAGTAGAGCAGCCCTGGCTTCTGGCAAAAAAGAGGTGTGGATTTCAGATCAGAAAGAGAGTCTTGTTACCAAATATAGCAGAAAAGGCAAGGTGTGAATGAACTTCCTTCTGGTGGCATTCCCTGCAGCTCAGGATTAAAGCGTAGTGAAGAGGGAATGTGTTGAAGTTCACGAGACGGTTGCCAGTGGGTTGCTTTTGCATGGGTAGCAGCAAATGAAGAAACAAAACGACATTAAAAAAAACAGCCTTCAACACAAAATTGGCCAATCCAATCTATATGGCATGTTCATTTTAATTAAACAAACTAGTTACTTTTTAAACTGTGTTGCTATAATGAAATAGAAACAAAAAAATTCCTCTCCCCATGTCTCCTGGAACATGAAAGCATTGAAGCAGTTTGCAATTAGCAGACTGCTTTCTGATTGCTGCCTGTTGACTGGGGGAAAACGGGCAGACAATCCGTTTCTCTCTTTCTACTCTTCTATGTCTGAGGGGTATTATGCTGTCTGGTAATAGGGTTGCACTCCATTCTTAGCTAGCTATTAGTGATCTGAATGTTTAACATCACTCTGTATTGCTATTCCTTATTAGAATGCAAGCAAAACTTTCCCCTGTGGCTCCGAACACTTGCCGTACCTTTTGGGAAGTAAGAATGGTGTTATAGAGAAGCCGGTACTGCAAAAAGAAGGGATGAATCTCACGGCTGTCACTGTGGCTGTGGAGAACGGACATACTGTGGCCTTTCTTGGAACGTCAAATGGCAAAATTCTTAAGGTAACAAACTGGATTTAAAAGACTGGAAGGTGTTTTAAAGGTTGCGAACTGTAGCGATAGTGTACTTCTGCTCTAAAAGTAAATGGGATTTATAAGATCGCGTACCAGGAGCAAATTCTCTGGGAGCTTGGTATTTTTAATTTCAAAGAAAAACCACATTATTTCTGCTGTACCTCAGCTATTGGATACACAGATTGAATTAGCATCGCCTGAATGACACTTTTCCCAAAGGATTAGATACCTACTGAGAGCCCTATATATACAGCCTTAGGTAATCTAACAGCTGCTCTAGCCTTATCTCTATTCAAGTCCATACTAGTTTAAGAGCAACTTTTCATTTTGTAATCATTCTAGCCATTCAGTGAATAGAGGTGGCAGCACAAAGCCCAAGCTGGAGCTCTGCTAAATTCTGGCTGTGTGGTGGGGGGCTCAAGGGTTCACGTGTTTGTGGTGTTAAAATGTCAAGACTGCAATGACAAACACCTTCTTTTGCTTGAAGGGTAGTGATGACCATGTGCCATTACATGGTTTGAAATTTGAAGTTGAAACCATTGGTTACCATAAGGGAAGATGAAAAAATTGAACACATTCAAGTGCAAAGGCTCTGAATTGAGAATTTCAATTTTATAGCACTAAAATGAA